GAAATAATTGGGATTCAAAAGAGACGGAAGAATTAAAGCATAAAACAAATGAAATAATAAAAGAAAATGTTTTATTGAAACGCGGTTTGAATGAAAAGGATTTGATAATTAGTGAGAAAAACGAGTTTTTTGATCACTTAAAGAGTGAAAACGATTCCAATGCGAAGAAAATCATAAAATTGAACAACGAATTGGATTTATTGACGGAGAAGTACAGGTGCTCTGAGTCTGTCAACAAGGAATTGAAAACTATTTTAGACAAATCGGACCCCAAGTGGACGTCGTCTGAGAGCATCGGTTCGTTGCGAATACAAAACGTGAGTTTAAAGGAGTCGTTGGCTCTCAAAGAGGAGATGATCGAGAAGTTGGGCGCGAAATACGCCAGAAATCGTAAAGTTTGGGAAGAAAACGACAAAAAGGCCACCGAAGAGATCAAGAAATTGGATGATATCGTCGATCACGTAATCGACACTTTGAAGTCTTTGCCCGAAAACTATCGCAATTTAGGGCAAATTCAAGAGATGTTAGATCTTCTCACCGAAGNGAAAACGACAAAAAGGCCACCGAAGAGATCAAGAAATTGGATGATATCGTCGATCACGTAATCGACACTTTGAAGTCTTTGCCCGAAAACTATCGCAATTTAGGGCAAATTCAAGAGATGTTAGATCTTCTCACCGAAGAGAACACTTCTTCAAACTAATTGATTGTATTAACACATGTCTCATGTTTTGCAAAACACTATTTTATATTCTATGCATTCATTAATTATAGCATTCCTTATACTTTTCTATACACTATTTAATTGATTTTGATTCATATCTCACACAATATATTCATTTATTGTTTAATCTTTGATTTGTATTTTAATTTTGCGAAACTATAACTTAATGACAACTCAATGACAATTCAATTTATTTTTGTGATTAACTAACAATTTATAATTTAGTTAACAGTTTGTTTCAAAAAGTTGTCTAAAAACACTATTTTAATATTAATACTTGAATACTATTTTGTAAAACCAAAGACCAATTCATAATAAAATGCACTTATTTTTTAAAGATTATGAAAAACCATAACTTTCTTAACATTATTTATCGGTATTTTAATAAATACTTTATTGTACTGTATATGTGATTAAGTTAATCACGTGCAGTCAAGTTTATAATACAGTTACATGCAATTTTTTAAATGCCACCCTATTCATTAAATATTAATGTAGTCTATAATTATGCAATTATTACTGTTACATAAATTAACCTGTTCCTATATTTGATGCAAATGCATTAAATCTAATATTTCGACATTCCATATAATAATGGCATACAGTAAATAGCTAGAATGAAGCATGGACAATTTATTAAAATTGCAGTCAACTTGAATGTCGAGTTTAACATACAATGCAATAGTTGTGCAAATGATTGCATTTCAAGTCTCACTCACTTTGATATTCAAATTGCATTCAAATCATTGCGAATCAAAATAATAGTGACTCAATGCAGTCACGCATGCGCTCTGAGTTGTCGATGCGATATAGGGTTTGGGGAAAACCCTATTTTCCAGCAACTGTTTAATTGCATTCAATTCAATATTAATCATTTAACTATTTAACATGTGATTTACTAAATTATATTATAAATGTGAATTGGTCAATATGTGACATGACCAATATATTTAAATAGTTATATTTAAATATTTGGATATATTTCAGGGAAAATGTTCTGAATTGAAGGGAAAGCACATAATTGTTGAGCAAAACGTGTTTTCCGGACATTAATAAAAGATAGGATTAAACAACAAATGATTGGAAATAATGTCTAAAAAACAACACAATTATGAATAAAAGTGTGTTTTGTTTACAATTAAACAATCGTTTCATTCATTCGTTGAATCGTCGCTTGAATTGCCATTAAATGCATTCAATTGTCACTCAAATGAACTGTTTATAAGAGTTTTGATAAAACTTTTTTAATCCGTTATTTCGTTTGGTTTTGAAAACAAAATTCATTTATCCATTGGTTTTACAGTCAATAAGACATTGAATTAAATTATTTTTTAAATACCGTTTTTAAGCCCAAAATAGTGTTTAAATCAATTTTAATCAATCAGTCATTACTTGTGTTGACATATATTTGTGAAATTGTGCCGAAAGTTGTGTTTGAATTGTAATTGTTATTTGAATTGTGATAATAAGTGATGGCTTTGTTGGACAGTATTCCGCATTTGAATCAATTGCTTGATGTCTGGCAGAGAGACAACAGGGCATCGGATCAAGTGATCAATTGTCTCAATAAGTATGTGATTTGCACAAAGACTCATGAATTAGTGATTTGAACTAATGGTTGATTTGATGTCAGGATTGCAGAGTTGGTGGAGAAGGAGACGGAGGCGTACCTGAAGATGGACCCTGATCCTTTCGACGACCGCCATCCCAGTCGCGCCCGACCCGACTGCTCGCTCGGACTCGTCCTCAAGACTCTCTTCCGGAACGACGACTTCATGAATAAAGTATTGTATTTATTGTTATAATAGTTGAATGAATTACTAATTGTATTGTTTGGACAGTTAGTGAACGACTATGTGATGCATAGGGACGACACAAACCTACACATCGCTGCCTGTCGTCTAATGTTGGATATATTGCCCGGTTTGGAGACTTCGGTCGTCTTCAACGAAACCGTATGTTTTGTCGGCTATTATGAAATGGTTTGTAATTAATGTATAATTATAACGATAGGAGGGTTTAGTTCAGCGACTGTTCAATTGGGCGGAAAGCGCTTCGGATCCGTTGCAGTCATACGCGACGGGTCTGTTGGCGGCGGCGATGGAAGTGCAGGACATCGCCACCAACTCTAAGGACCAAAACGCGAGACTTTTGCCAATTATGTTGAAGCGGTTGAAGGAATTGCGGAACAAAAGCATCGAAACAAATGAGAATCATTTAAACGATCGGCCATTTGTTCACTTGAATAACAGTAATTTGAGTCCAAAGAAGTGTATCTCCAAATCGAAAACAGATGAATCCAATGAATCTCTAAACAAAAGCAAACGGACTCTTCAGTCCAGTTCTCCCGATATGAATAAAAGGCGACGTCTTTCGAGTCCTGTCAGTTTCTCAGCGCTCTCTCCGTCGACTTACAACAGCGAGTGCTCTAACAGTAGTTGGGCTGAAGTCGAGCCCTATATGATTGGCTTTTCTAAAGTGCATCCATTGACCGAAGAAATGAAACAACGATTTGTTTTACAATATTTGACACCAATGGGTGACTATCAAGAAATGCTGTGCTTTGTCTTTGAACACAACGCTCTCTCATTGATTATGCATTACATCGACTTAAGCAAGAATAGAGACATTAGACTTGCTTTCGATGCACTCAAGGTTTGACACTAATATTGCCTCAAATATTATACAATTCACTAATTGTTATCATTTATTACTTTAGTATTTGGCATCTCTTTTGTGTCATAAAAAATTTTCGTTAGAATTTTTGAACGCCAAAGGATTAGAGCAATTACTTCAGATATACCGGCCCTCTGTAGCGGCCACTGGAGTCTCCATTTGCTTATACTATTTGGCATATAATGAGGACGCCATGGAAAAAGTATGAAGAGTTTTATTTGTAAAATAAGTGATCCATAAATTAAATGTTTATAATGTTGTGAATAGATATGTCTGTTGCCTAAGCATATACTGAACGATTTGGTGGCCTATGCTTTATGGCTACTGGAATGCTCTCACGACTCGAGTCGATGTCACGCCACTATGTTTTTTAGTCTCAGTTTTTCGTTTCGTATGATTCTTGAGTTGTTTGACAGTCAGGACGGACTCAGAAAACTACTAAATGTGGTATTAATTAAAGTTGTGCTCAACGAATGGGAATATGAGTTAAACATGTGATTGTTTTGTGCAGATATTTCTTTTGGACATCTTCTCAGACGAGACGGAATACACTGAGGATGAGTTGTTCACCAAAAGGCAAAACGCGAGACACGTTTGCGTAGCG